TGTTTTTCTATGCAGTTGCTCCTCTGGCAGAAAGGGGGCTTGAAAGGATACAGTGATCATTTTCCTTAATACTGATTTCACGATTCAGCATTTCATATACTAATAATTAATGGTAAGAAGCTATGCAGCAACACAGGGTTGGTGTTGGCAAAGGTAAACTTGTGTCTGTAATGAGCAATGAATGCAAGACTAACAACCAGGTGTGTTTGTAATGTGTCCCTTTTTAAAAAACACTGGGAAAAGTAGTCAACAGCTGTGCTGCCTGCTGCTATCAGTAACTGTTTATGTGTGTTCAGTAAACAGGGATTTTAAACTACTGGTGGAGGAAGCCTGGGAGAAGGAAGAAAACCTGCAACTTTCTGAGCTGCTTTCTTACTTAATGGAAAGAAAGTAAAATACTAGGCTTTTCATCCCACTGAATTTTGCAAAGGCCTTACAGAGGCGTGGAAAAATGATGGATTTATTACTTGCTGCTAACATTTCTATGCCTGCAGTAAATATTAACAGTAATGTAAACTGTGAAGAGGACAGTGCACAGAGGGCTCTTTATTTCAGTGATACTGTATTTACCATCTGTGTCAGCTTTGTGAATAAGCAGTGTCTGCTACTGAATACAGTCACATAACCTATAGACAATATGCTAGAATCCTTTTTCTCTGTAATTACCGATGTAATTTTTTTTTAAGGTCTTAGTCTGGCACCTCCTGTGCTGTTTTCCTAAGATCCCTAGATCGGGTTCCTCAAGTTTATCCAAGGTGCTGTTGACTTCAGCTGGGCTCCACAACACCACAGAGATCTTTGCAAAGTGCTCCTGGCAGATGGCATGAAGGGAGCTTAGGCGAGGTTTTCTTCAGGGCTTCAACCTGTAAGATGGGTTTCCAGAGATCATGATGGAGACACAAAATGTAAATAAACTTAGGGAAAAAAAAAATTGTCTCGTTTCATTCCTAGCAAAAGGAAATTTATCTCTTTGCATGAGGGGTGGGGTAAAAATTTAATGGAGATGTTCCTTTTGAAAATACAAAATTATTCTTTTGTACACTTTAACTAATTGTAGGCCAAATAATTTGATACATTTGAAAAAAAAAATAGTGTTCCCTGAATCAAACCAAGTTTTTAAACAAACATACTTGCGTTTTTGGCAGGAAAATTACGTCCATCTCTAATACTGAAGCGTTCCTTAACTGAGTGGAAAAAAAGTGCTCCAGCCTGAATGTAAATCTCATGTTACATATGTCCCTATGGGAGCTGTGTTAGCTGCGGTCTTAGGAGTCAGCTTCATTTGCCCTTGAGAATCCAAACAACATACTGATGTGCTGAAAGTGATGTGCCTCGTTAGCCTCCCACAGAAACAGTCGCTGTAGGAGGGCTTGGCAGAGCTTCTTGAATGGGGTGCAGTGTGTTGGGAGTGAAATGCACTGCTTTCTGTTGGATTCATCTAGAGGGGGCTGTGTATGACCAAGTGGCAATGCGATATTGCAGTCTGTTCACCGTGACGCTTGTGAGATGAGCGGTGGTGACTTTGGCAGAAGGGTTGTACTTCGAGTTCGGGAAGTCGACAAATGAAAGGGCCACTTGTTGGTAGGGAAAAGGCATTAACAGTGGTGTCCTGAGTGCTGGGTGGGGATCCCCAGGGAGCATAGTGAGGAACATGAAATTCTACAGGCTGGGGGAAGAATGGCTGGAGAGCTGCCCAGAAGAAAAGGACCTGGGGGTGCTGGTTGACAGCCAGCTGAGTGTGAGCCATCAGTGTGCCCAGGTGGCTGAGAAGGCCAACAGCATCCTGGCTTGTATCAGGAATAGTGTGGCCAGCAGGAGTAGGAAAGTGATCATCCCCCTGTACTCAGCACTGGTGAGGCCGCACCTCGAAAGCTGTGTTCAGTTTTGGGTCCCTCACTACAGGAAGAACGTTGAGGTGCTGGAACATGTACACAGGAGAGCAACGAAGCTGGTGAAGGGTCTGGAGCACAAGGCTTAGGAGGAGCGGCTGAGGGAACTGGGGTTGTTTAGCATGGAGGAGGCTGAGAGGAGACCTTATTGCCTTCTACAACCACCTGAAAGGAGGGTGTAGTGAGGTGGGTGTTGGTCTCCTCTTTCAAGTAACAAGCAATAGGACAAGAGGAAATGGCCTCAAGTTGCATCAGAGGAGGTTTAGATTGGACATCAGCAAAAATTTCTTCACCGAAAGGGCTGTCAAGCACTGGAACGGGCTGCCCAGGGAAGTGGTTGAGTCCCCATCCCTGGAGGTATTTAAAAGATGGGTAGACGAGGTGCTTAGGGGCATGGTTTAGTGGTGGGATGGCAGTGTTAGGTTAATGGTTGGACTTGATGATCTTAAAGGTCTTTTCCAACTTAAATGATTCTATGAAGGCTGTGTAGGTACTGGTGACCCCTGGCCATTGCCAGGGGAGTCAGTGCTTGAGAGGAGTGTGCCATGGCCATACAGAAAGCCCAGGTTTATGCTATGGCTGTTTGGGGAGCATGCCTGAGCACAGGGATTTTGGTGTCTGGGACTTGTAGAATCTGTAGCAAGAATGTATGACCTAGTGAGCTCCCATCCTTGTCCAGGAAGGCGATTTTTTGCCAACAGTACTTTACTGTATAGTGCATTGCCATAGCTGCTTTGCCAGCATCAGTGCTGACTCTTGGGGAAAAGCAAGCGATGCCCGCATCTTCCACAGCTCCAGCCATGCGAGCAGGTTAACCGGGTCTGTCAGCAGCAACAGCAGCGCTCTGTTGCTGGTTGTTTCTCTGTGACTCCTGCCTAACCCCAGTGGTTTATGAAGCCACTCACGGACAACCTCAGTGAGCGTTCGTTTTTTATGTCTGCAGCTGCAGCGTGCCTGTGGAAAAGACGGGAAGTCCCTCAGGGTCAGAGCTGAGTTTGATCTGCAGCGCATGAAAAAGATCGGCTGCGTCGGTGCTTCTGAGAGGCCAAGAAGGAGCAGATGGCTGTCGGACAGCACCAGACTACCCGAGGGGAACCTGCTGTGCAAGTGCCAGCACCAGCTGCAGCCACTTCACTTGCCTGTCAGGGCTGGGAAGGTAGTCCACGAGGGAGGTCCCGTACTTACTGTTGAGTGTAAATTCTTTGTAGTGTGGGGTAACGTTCCCTTGCACTGAACATTTGATTGGTGCAGTGTGTGTATGGGGAGCTATGAACAGTCGTCGGGGGGGATGGGGGTGGTTATAATTGGGTTCTTCCTTTCCCTTTCCTTGCTTTTCTCCTTATATTTCCTGTTCTTGCCTGGTAATTTTGCCGTAACACCACCTCACCCAACCTTATTTGCAGCAGCAGTCCCAGTTATAGCTAGCTCCTTCTTATGTCGTGGCTGGCCCTGCAGGGCTGAGAGCCTTGGGAGGGTTGTGCAGAGACGTATTGAACTTGAGGATATTTTTAAAGGGCTTTATTTAAATCAGTAAGTAAAATAAAAGCAGAATACTACAAGATGTGTGAAGCATGAAGTCGGACTAAACAGGGCAAGGAAGATGGACGAATGTCTCTGGTTTGGAGTGTATCCCAAATAAGGGCAGACTAAGGCTTCTACCATGCTCTTTACTACCCACTTTTCCTCAACCAGAGCACGACGTGAGTGGTCAGAGGTTTGCATGGGAGAGGCATGTAAAACTCCAGCTGTAGGGGCTGCACATGTAGCATAGAAGACAACAGTGAAGTAGTAAGATATGTACAGAAGGACCCCAGGGCTGCTGCAGGACCTTGATTAGATGACATCTGGTATCTGTTCACCTTCCCAGACCAACTTTATGTTTATTTGTAAGAAACAAAAATTGTGTACTTGCCACATGACTTCCTGTGGCTGCCATAGAACAACCCACTTCTAGTAAGAGCATGAAAATCCACTTCTGCATTTCTCAGCACTACTGCAGTGTGTTCCCTACCCTCACACTGCTGTGGATTCACCACCTGAAGTAATATGCATTCTTGGGGCAATTTTGGAACTCAGTGAGAGAGACAGGCTGTGTGAAATCTTGCTCAATTTTATCCAGCATGGTGTCCTGTGGCACAAACAGGCTACACCTTTACCTCTGTCTGTGGGCACTGGAGCTCAGTTTTCCACAGTTGGCAACAAAATGTCAAGTAGTAGGACCCATGCCAAAGCATATGTGGTACAAGTTAAATGGGACAGTTGTTAAAAGCATGAGATCAGCTGCAGGATGGGTCTGGAGCATGGTGAAGTTAATAGGCCTGGACACTGGTGGCAGTGAGGCATCCTGGTTGTTGTGTTAGATCACTCTGTTGGTTAAATGTGGAACAGGGGAAGGGAAAACAACTATGTTCGGAAAGGTCCCACAGAGTGAATTTCATATCTGGTCTTGATCCTGGATCTGTCTTGAGGTCCTGCAGGAACTGAAGAGTCCCTGGGTACCTGTAGCCCAGCTTTTCTCCCCATAGCAGTGTGCTCCTTGGCTATGGATGCTTCCTTTTAATTAGTGGAGAAGAAATGGATCCAAATCCAATTATGGGAATCATAGAATCATTCAGGTTGGAAACGACCTCCAAGATCATCAAGTCCAACCATCAACCCAACACCACCATGCCTACTAAACCGTGTCCTGAAGTGCCACATATACACCTTTTTTGAACACCTCCAGGGATGATGACTCCACCACCTCTGTACAGCCTGTTCCAATGCTTGACCACTCGTTCAGTAAAGAGTTTTTTCCTAATACCCAATTGAAACCTCCCCTGGCGCAACTTGAGGCTATTCCCTCTTGTCCTATCGCTTGTTACCTGGGAGAAGAGACCAACACCCACCTCGCTACAGCCTCCTTTCAGGTAGTTGTAGAGAGTGATGAGGTCTCCTCTCAGCCTCCTCCATGCTAAACAACCCCAGTTCCCTCAGCCGCTCCTCCTAAGCCTTGTGCTCCAGACCCTTCACCAGCTTCGTTGCCCTTCTCTGGACATGTTCCAGTGCCTCAGTGTCCTTCTTGTAGTGAGGGGCCCAAAACTGAAAACAGTATTTGAGATGCCGCCTCACCAGTGCTGAGTACAGGGTGATGATTGCTTCCCTAGTCCTGCTGGCCACGCTATTCCTGATACAAGCCAGAAAGGGGCCATAATCTGTAGTGCATGTGGGAATAACATCTGTATTCCTCGCCAGTATAGGATCCAGCTCCTGGAGCTTGCAGCAGGTCACACTGCCAGAACTAGTCTGTTCTGTGCTGTCGTGGGCATTCATGGTCCCCTGGTATGTGCCGCTCAGAGCCCATCTCCTGCATCTCTCCAGGTCCGCTTAGCGCTGATACTGAGAAGTTCAGCCAGCAGCAATGCAGCAAAGCTCCTCGCTGTCTCGTTGCCTGGAGAGATTGCTTTGCCCTCCTACCTGTTTGCTCCCATGAAGATCTCCATGCACTGAGCTGCATCCAGGGAATGCTGCTTACGGCAAGTCTGGCTCTGCGCTAGGGCTTGGCTCTGGCTTAGTGGCAATGCCAAGATTATTAAATGCAATACCTGTGATCCAGGAAAAGGCCTAAGGGAAAGCAGAAGAGCCTGGTCCAAGAAAGGGCATCCAAGGTAAAAGACATGCAAAGGTGGCATGCAAAGCGTGACAGAGAGCGAGTGAGCTGACTGTGGTGGGGCTCTGGGAAGAAAGAGCATGGTCCAAGCCTGCATTTATGGAAGAGCAGCTGCAGCCAGGTGCTGTGAGCTCAGGAATCGAGGAGTGGAAATGGAATGATAAGAGGCCTGCAAGGACCTGTGAGCGGTCTGGGGAATTCTGATTCAGGCACCTGCTGCTTGATCTGGGAAAAAGCTGGTTTGCCAAAATGTTTGGAAAAAATTTTAACGGACACGGTGTTTATAAATCAGATCAGTGCTCATCTGACTGCAAAAGTTTTAATGGGCTCCTTCAAGACCTTATGCTATCTTACAGGTACGGTCAAACCTGGTTTAGGATAATGGGAAAGGATAGAATTTTACTTCCTTGTTGAGTCAGAAAATTGTTAATGGGCCAGTTAGGTACAGAGCTTAACAGCTATTCTGCAAAAATATTACGATATCTCCAAGGAAATGAAAAAGTCTTTAAGAAGTCAAGTGTAGAAATATCTTCTGAATAAGTAAGAAATTAAGAAGTTTAGAAGGGAAAAGACCGAATTTGTACAGAACCCTTAGAGGATTAGAAGAGCAAGCTTATCTGTAAAAGCTTATGTGATACATAAAAAGAGGCTCTGTAGATACAGCCTAAGCTATAGGGTATGCAGAAGACTGCAACCACAGGAAATAGGAAGAAAGAATTTTTTTTTTTTTATATTTGATCTTGGTGCAAAAAGCTTAAGCACTTGTAACTTGGTCGGTTTTGGATGCTGTACAGGGAAATCCTTTTGTTTGGATTGTAAACAGCTTGAGAGTTAAACATGATTTCAGTGGTAACTGAACTCCAAGGCAGTGGAGA